ATCATATTGCTAATTGAGAGTAGTCTTACTCGTGTACGTTATACGATTTGTATATGTTACCGGCCAAACCCGATCTTATGACAAACTAGTTTTTAACATATACATATCTACTCATGCGCATACATATGTAGGTACATACATACATAGGTTCTCATTTTTTTTGGCCACAATTTAAAAAATTTGCCATCAATATCAGACCATTAAATCCACTCACATACATATGTACATACATACTTATATATGTACATACTTATATATGTACATATGTAGGTGTGTGAAAATCTGCTCATTACATTTTATATGTACATGTATGTATGTATTAGTACTCATGTTGTTGATGTACATATGTATTACATCCAATAAAAAGTAAAATATATGTATATGCATTTTTGTTAATTAGGGAGAAGCCCTTAGTGATCTACGTTTTCTCAAATAATTCTAAAGTAGTTAAAGAATTCAAACAAAACACAACCAGCGGCGGATTTTCCAGCAATGAAACTATAATGCATTGTGGAGGTATTTATGTGTAAAATATTTGCACACTTTTTTTATTATTTTCATAAGTATATACTTCATATTACAGATTTGGAAATATGTATTCTGTTCATGAAATGCAAATCTAAATTGTTGTAATTGTACGCGCTTAATTCGGCAAAAGCACACATCTTTCAGTTAGCATTTTTTTTTTAAATATCTACTTATAGCACACATTGTTTAAATTTGCACTATTTTGATGAAAATTTTTGATAAAATATCAGTGTTGCGCAAAATTTTACCCATATGATTGTAAGTCAAAATTTTGTTTTTGAATTTTTAACCGGCCACGCAAACGAAACAATTCTGGCAAAGATTTAAAGTTTTCTAAATTTACTAATGGCCCTAGTATGTATGGCGACTAATAGTCGATGGGTAACTACTAAGTCATCTAGTATCGGCATTCGGGATCCCGAGTCCTTTTTTGAGTCCCGAAAGCCCGGGATCCCGGGATATAATTTCATTTACGACCAAATTAAAATAAAAAACGACATTCAGGCGCTGTAATGGCATAAACTAATTATAAAATGCAACCCTACAAATAATCAAATAATATATTACAATTCCAACATTACTATTATTCTATGTTGTCATTTTCTGTTTCCGATTTATGACGATTTTGTTATTTGTTTACATAAATTTTTAAACACATTGGATCAAAATTGAAATTACTTCTAAATGTATATGTCAAGAAAGTTAATTTAGATGTTGTCTGCGCATTCTGTATTCTGAGGTTAACCGCTATACATAATAATAATACGATACTGGTAGCTCTGACCAGCAACTAGACTCCAGTCGCCATACATAATAGGACCACAAATTTGCCATCTAACACGTATGCATTTGTACATTATTAGATTAATGCATAAAGAAAGTATTTAGTATTTAAACTAACAAAAAAATATGTATGTATGCGTCATAACGAAAAAAAACGCCTTTAGTTTTTAACCGACTTCACAAAAAGGAGTTATCAATTCGTCGGATTTTTTTTTTTTGTTTGTTTTTATATCTAACTTTGGACCACCTTAACCGATTTCTATAATTCTTTTTTTTTAATCGGATCACGAAGAAATTTACGATAATATTAAATTTTTATATACTGAATTGAAGTCGGTTTTGTTTTTTGCTTAAAAATCACTTGTTAAATGAGACTTTCGGCATCGAATAAAAATAAATAATAACTAAAAAGTAAGGCATTGTTTGTGCAATATTAAAGGGCTAGCGGCCATTTCTGCATCCTTATACCATGTCCGGACCAACATCGATAACAGATTAAAAACAAGTTTTGTTTATTGTGGCTTCAAAGGTGTTCGCACAGATAAAAGAAAGCTGTTTGCAAAATAAAAATGCCTCTTAAAAAGGGTGTAGGGCTTCAATTAACTCAACGAGCGTTAAGTAAAAAAAACTTGGCATGCAAAGGGGTTAAGTTCTTCTGGCCTCAGGTAGATCGCGCAGTCGGTCTAAAAAGCTCTTACGGCTGAGCAATGCGTCGGTCATTGTCCGATTGAAATCCATGCTCAAAATCACGTTGAGGTGGTTAACACCTTAATTCTCACTTCTGTTGAAACTTTATTGTTAGCACCCCCATTTCGATTTGACTCATCCCTAACCCTTAAATGGTATTACAAAGGGCAGATGTAATTTAATAGTCCTACATAATGTGGTTCTATTATATCTGTGAAAACGTAACTTTATAAAGTTTTTAAACTTGCTTGTCGGCCGCTGTGGTTTAGTGGTAAGCAGTGCACGCTTTCACTCATCAGCAACTGGGTTCAAGCCCTGGTCAAAGCAACATCGCAAAAACCTCCGAGTGTATTTCTGCCATGAAAAACAGCTTCTCATAAAAATACAATCGCCGTTCGGAGCCGGCGTAAAACTGTAGGTCCCTCCGCTTTGTGTGACAACATCAAGGCGCACGCCACAAGTCGGAGGAGAAGCTCGGCCAAACACTATCATATGTGTAAGAGCCAATCTATTATTTTTATTATTATTAAACTTGCTTAATTTTTAATGAATAGCGCCATACAAATGTAATTTAAAGTTTCTTGGTAATGTATTTTGGTACAGGGCCTTTTATAACGATGACAACTACATACATATGCACAATTTTGTTACACATTATTTCGTTAAATGAACCAAACTACAATTTATACAACCATAATACCTAATAAATTTTACTATTTATGCTTTTTATAAACCTTGCTCACCCTTAACTTTTTAATAATTGAGGCGCATGATTAATGCTTCTTTTGATTGCATGCTTTTTCTTCTGCAGTAATGTAACCTTTTTATTCAATATACATATGTAGATATACTTAGACAATCAGCCTTATCATGAGTTTAATTTTCCCGAGCCGGTTCACTTTTCACGTTTGGTTTCCATGTATTTACTATGGGCGGAATACAAATTTTCGGGTGATTTTTTTTTTGTTCGGGCAAAACTCAGGATAAGGCAGAATATGTTCAAAAATATGTCTTATTATTTACAAGTAATTAAAAATAAATATGTATAAAAGCTTATCAAAATTTCCCATTTACGATTCACAGTGAAATTTTATTTTTATTATTTTAATAACTATTGTTATTATTAGACTGCAGATTTTTATCCAGAAAACGAAGCTTAAAAGTATGTAACACATAAAAATTTCAAATATTTATTTTATAGTTAAGTGTTACATATTTTTGGGCTTCGTTTTCTGCATAAACATCCGCAGTCTAAGTATTATAATATTTTTATTATTTATAAGCATTTTTTAAATATTTGTATATTTGACGAAGCTTCCACCCACCAACAATTTTTAATGTAAATTTACTCTCAATGTTATTGACAAATCTCTATCACGCAAAAACACAAAAACTAATAAAAATGTTTTCCTACAAAAGTCGATACATTGCCTTTTGGCGGCGTTGGATCTAGTGGCATGGGACGCTATCACGGTAAATATGGATTTGAAACATTCACACATAAGAAATCGTGCCTTGGAAAGGATTTAAATCCATTGGGCGAACTCTTGGCATCGTAAGTACAATAAACGATACGTATGACAATTAAAAACTTACAATATATGTACATATGTATTTTCCTTATATTTTAGTGGTCGTTATCCGCCTTATTCAGATCGTAAATCTTCGCTATTGGGTTTTCTGCTGCGCAAACGTCGGCCCTTTCCGAAAATATACCTGTCACATTTATTAGCCGTGGGACTGGGTATTGGCATCACAGTACTTTTTACTCATTATTTACAGGTAATTTAAAATAAAATCTTTTAATATCTACCCAAACACTTACATATATTTACATTTTATTTTTGGTTTAACATTATGATAAACGGTAAACATTCACTTGCACATGCGCGCAATATACTATACATGCAATATGCTCATACAAAAAACAAAAAAAAAAAAAAATACAAACATAAACGTATCCAGGCGATAAAAGGAAAATTATTTTCACGATAATATCGCTCTTCCTATGGCCGATTTACATATGTACATGCATTATATTGATCAACACATTCACCATACAAGCTTTGATGGTTTTGCTTATATACATATATACATACATATTTATGTACGAGTGGGCTTTTCGATGATCAGCATCTCATCGTGGTGGTGTCTTAAACTGGTACATACATGTATACAACTGTGTCTATGTTTTTTCCAAGGCGCTCCAGCACATTAATATACTTATAATTACTCAATAAGCTATAGTTTGCACCTTAATTCACGAAAATCCTTTCTATATCAACTTAGTACACATTTATTCATTAATTAAATATAACCTATAAAAATCTATTAAAATGAATGTATTTGCAAACATAAAATACTACATAAAACACAATCTGTGGAAGTTTTTGTTTTGTATTTGCACTAAATGCATAAATCCTAAAAGTAGAGCTAAAATTTATCGCATACATACATATATAAATTGTATTTACTTACAAATATTTTTATTATCCTTTTGCAGAGTGGTAACGATAAGAAATGATTGTTCATTAAGAAAACTTAGTTATACTATCAAATGCTGAATGTGAAATAAGCAGGTCGTTGACTTGAAATATGTACATACATATATGTATTTCTAAAAATGTTATTTAATATATATTGTAAACTTATTTTATATGTAATAAAAATAAATAAAATTTTATAATTTGCTTTCTATTCTACTTGATGTTAGATAAGCTGCTAAATCTGTATAAGTATCTACATAATATGTATGCGGTTATTAGAAAGTGGATACAAATTAGTTAAAGGCTTAACATAGTCGAACTGCTAGTAGAAGAGCTTCTTTGGATGCAGTTTGTTTTGGCACACGGAATTATGTATGTTTGCTTACACCTAAAATCTAATACCGAGCGCTGATGGCATTTAATTAAAATAGCAAATTGCCAGCTGAAATTTTGTGGAAAGTACTCGTATAAACTGTTACTCATGAAACATACTGCGTCAAGTTTCTCAAACACACAAATACCGTTAAAATTTGTTTTATATTTACAAAAGCAATCTTTGAAAAAGTTATTTAAATACGTTCTCATTTCCGTTTCCGCTCAATCTGATGTTGCATTCCTATCGACTAATGATGTTGTTTTTGTTTTTATACTACAGCCGATTTCGATAATAAAAAAATTATCGATTATAATTTGGTAGTAGTAAGCAGTCGTAATGCAATAATTAAAGTATGTTCACATATAAATATTATCTCAATCAAGCTCGTTTTTTAATCACCCCGTTTACACAGGTAAATCTCAGATTATTAGCCGTCAAATTTTTTGTGCTTGTTATTCTCACATCTCAAGGAAAAGTTATGTTTCTTCTCTGTGCCACCGTGATCACGTTTTTCTGCTATATTAAGCAACATAAATATATTTTAACTTAACATTTTATTAAAAATACCTTTACAAACCTCTTTTATTTGCTAGCGTCCATCATGATTCAAGGATGTCAGGCATCACAAAATCCTGGTTGATCTGTCAAACAGTCAATTTACGCAACTATTAAGACTTTATTAGTTTAAGGGAATCCCCTAATACTAGGTTCACATATAAGTCGATTGTCCTCATTTTCCCTAATCCCTAATCTCCCTAATCTGTAATTAGAACAAGAGATTAGCCATATAAAATTCGTCCCTTATTAATCTGTAATTATAAAATAATCTCAGATTTAACCGATAACTTTTTCGGTGTCCATCCTAGTTTTATCGATTGTTTTTGCGAAAAAGAGGAGAAATGCCAAATGTAAAAGTAAAGAAAAGTGGACGCTAGCAAGGAAAAGAGGTTTGTAAAGGTATTTTTAATAAAATGTTAAGTTAAAATATATTTATATTGCTTAATATAGCAGAAAAACGTGATCACGGTGGCACAGAGAAGAAACATAACTTTTCCTTGAGATATGAGAATAACAAGCGCAACAAATTTGATGGCTAATAATCTGAGATTTACCTGTGTAAACGGGGTGATTAAAAACGAGCTTTGATTGTGATAATATTTATATGTGAACATACTTGTTTTTTTTTTTGGTTGTAACGCAAATGATGCGTCGAGTTAAAATGGCAAGGAATCACTCCTGATCCCTACACCGCCGTGTTATGCCAATAACTTAGATTTGTTGACAGCATAAGTGAGCGGATACCCGATAAACTGATTCCACAGAAGATCCGAAATCCCCGAAGAAAAAGCGCGCAGGGTGACTCACATACAAAAACCAACAACAAAATACTAAACATACAAATTGCTTTAGCATCATTGCGATCACAATATAACATTACAATGAAAAGAATTATGACTACAACGAACTTCAAATGACAAGTGAAAACTTAAAACTAATGTACTGTGTATACCTACTAAAACCTACCAGTCTGATTCAAATACTTATCCTTATTAAAAGTACTCTTTAAAAAATACTGTCACTAGCTAAGCCTTTTGTAAATAATAAAAGGTTCTTTCCGCTCTATATGAGCTAGACAAATTTCAAAAATTCATGAACATGTTAATTAGCATCCGATACAATACAATAAGCTGTTTTATGTATCACATTAGATTTGTACTATAAAGTAATTTTAGATTTCTCTTTTCTTTAGATTTCTTTTTTTTTTTATAACAACGAGCGTAAGAAAGATCAACAAACATTATTTATTTATAGTCTTATATATATTTTTTCCGGTTTAAAACCAATACAAAAATACTTGAATATAAACATGTTTCTGTTAAAGTACATTTACGTCAAACTCCCCGTCCTTTTAATATAATTATTATTGTTTTTTTCCTTTTTTTAACTACCCTGATATCGGTTGTCAAAATTACATTAACAATTAAAGAACCTCATTCAACTTTGCCTCCTTTACAAAGCAAATTAACTCCCTAAGCAGACCAAGTCGTTTGTGACAAAAATTTCTTTACAACAATTAAACTTCTCAAAGAAGGCGTACGTGTCCCTGATCGCAGAAAATCTCGGGCGTACAAATATTAGGTGGTCATTGGACTCCCTCACCCCGCAAGACCAGCAAGTGTCCGACACATCTCTGTTGAACTTACTCAAAAAAAAACATTCCCATAGGTGTGACCTGAAACAAGTCTGTTTATTAGCTTAACATCTTGGACTTCCAAGTCACATTTTTTATTACAGAACCAATGCGAGTTTGTTATTCTACCTACGTTTTCAGCAAAAGTCTTACCTTCCGTCAGAAATATTTCAAAACACTCCTCCTCCCATTCGCTCCATATATTCTTGCAGATAATTCTGAGTCCCTCCTCAATCGTTAACTTAACAAGCACTCTTCTACCATTACTAACTGCTGCCTTTGCTGCTATGTCTGCCTGCTCAATGTAAAAAAATGCCCACATGGCTAGGTACCCAGATGAGTTTTATGCTCTCGCACCCGGAGCCATGTAAACTATTATGGATGGAAGCAACAATATGATTTGTTGTACATTTCTTATCAATAAGCCTCAACGCAGCCATGCTATCAGAGATAATACCAATCTTTTTGAAATTGGTCCTAACCATTAACGATACCGCCTCCTTAATTGCGACAAGCTCACCGAAAGTTGACGCAAAATCCCCCCCGAGATATTATACAAATATGAAAAATTGTTTTGTGGATCATAAACGGCAAGACCCGTCACCCCTTCACCCACAGAAGCATCCGTGGCAACCAGATAATAGCCATCGTCCTTAAGCTCACTAAATCTACACAGGTACCGGCTTCTAAGTTGTAATACACTATAATTAGCTTTTGAAGCAGACAGACCAGATAATTCAACTGACAAATTATTGTGCCTACAGAACCTAGTCTCCGTTCCAACTCTATTGAAGATAGTCTTATATTTGTTGTATACAAACGAAATAACTCGATTTAAAACTCGCACCACACCTCAGGTCTTCCCTAAGGCGACGATTTCTCAACCATTGGTTACCCAATTCCTTGGCTGTCAACCACTCCGCTATTTTCAGGGGAGGGAGCTCCCCCGCCAGTGCGTACCTCACATGTACAGGCGAGTTTGGAGGCAGCCCATTTCCCACCTGAACCGAGTGTCTCCCCAAGACAAGGGTTCTCCTTGAAAAGAAGTTGAACACCCACTCCCGTATATTACCGTCCACATGCAGCTTTTCCATTATAACCCTCAGTTTATCGATGCGGACACAGTTATACACATCCGAAATATCGAGCACGCACACAAACACCTTCCTGCGAGCCTTTAACTTCCCAGACCAGTACAAAAATTCATTAAGACACATAGCAGCCGATCTACCCTTCCTGTAAGCAAAACTACCCTCCGGGAAAACATTATTCGATTCCGCCCACTCCATAAGTCTTTCTTTGACCATCATATTGAGGCACTTAGGAAAAACACAGACAGTAGTGAGATAGGCCTGAAATTCCTTATATCACTAAGATCCTTCTCATGTTTAGGAATGGGCACAATTTTGACAACCCTCCACTCCTCTCTCACGTGATTTTCGTTGAACAACTTTCTCATGTCCCGCAACATGGCCACTTTAGTGATCTTCGGAAGTCTTTTCAGCATACTGAAAGTAACTCCATCCACCCCTCCTGCAGATTTCTTTTTTTTGCTTAAAACTTTGTTCAGTGCATCTATGGAGAAATAACCAAAATCCCCCGCACCCTCATTTGTGGGTTCATACCTGGTCTGCAACCTGTCGTCAGGCTGAGCAACCACCTGACACTTAAGTAACTCCAGGTATTTAACTTGATCTTCACTCGACCAGCCAGTAACAGTCCTCCGACTACCCTTTACGCCGTTTACGAACCTCCAATCATCCACCGAGTTAGGACAATCATTCAGCTCATTAGTTTTGGCCCGATAACTATCAGCCTTAGCTTTTTTAACCGCTTTATTCCACTCTTCCTCCCTGCCATGCAACTCCTCAAAATCCCTGACACTGCTTGACCGCCTGGCTCTCTTCCTACATGCCGACAACAATCTATACTGCTTTTCAATCCCCTCATTCCACCACGCTTTGAGTGAGCCATTTATCGAATTAAGATCAATGGTTGCCTTACTAACCTCACTACTAATAGCATTGCAGATATCGCCTAAACTCTCCTCACATACAAGTCCAGACAGAGCAGATTCTAACTTCCGTTTCCGAATAAACAGATTTGGTATTTTTTCAGCGCTTTCAATGTCAATAATAACTGGCCAATGATGGCTACCCCCGACAAAAACAGGATTTACTTTCCAGCTCAGCTGGCATACAGTTTGTAAACGAGAGATCCAAAACCGTTAAACCATCGTTACTGTACTTGTTTCTGGCAAAAGTAGGACTCCCATCATTCAAACACTTGAACTGGGCCTTGACGATCGCACTTCGAAGAGACCTCCCCTTGGCGAGATCCCTGGGACTGCCCCATTCCCTCGCTTTTGCGTTAAAATCGCCCAACAGTAGGTCATTCTCATGCCCTTCCAAAAAAAGCATTAACTGATTTATCTCATAGTCAAACAGATATCTGTTCAACGTAGGAGGAAAGTATGCTGACACGATCGTAAAATTTTGAATGAGATTTGTGGTCTTCGCCACAACCACATCAAAATTTGAGTTATACCTAATCTTCTGAAAACGAATGTTCTTTCTCCCGTCAACAGCTACACCTTCGTACCCGTCAGCTCTGAACTTTGAAATCAAATTGAAGTTAATTAACTTATGCCCTTCATTAATGTCCCCGAGAGAAAAAACCTCCTGAAGGACCACTATATCAATATTATTGTGATTTATAAAAAAGTCTATGTAGTCTCTATTCGCTTTAAGGCTCTGACAGTTAAACTGTAAGACCTTTATCGTCATTATAGTTTCTGTTTATAGTGAGTCTGTCATCTACGCTGGTTTTTGATAACTTCCCTAAGACCATAGGCTCCTCAGCATCTATACTAAACTTGGCAATTAGCTGATCAATCTCACTAGTTATCTCCCATTTAGCATTGTCAAAAACTGAAACTGTCCTTTCTTTAACTTTATTTTCCTTTATTGCTTTCTTCTGAACCTCATTGTCATATCATTGTCAATCTTCATACCATGCTTGACTACATTATTGAAACCTCTCCTTGTAAGGCTCCTGTTAATAATAGCCTCATTGTTTTGACTGCTATTTTCCGCCCCACTTGGAGCTGGGAACGCATCACTATAGTTTTCAAGTAAAGCAAAACTGTTACCCTCAAGCACATTTCTGTACTTATCATAAAACTCCTTTTTGGACAACTTCTTTACAGTCATAATTTCTATGACTTGTCTCTCCCTTTCCCAGCTAGGGCATACGTTCTTGTTTAGCGACACGCGACTGTTGCTACCACATAAAATACAATTCGGGTTAGCACTCGTGCACTTTTCTGGGCAGGACTCCTCCTTGCCACAGACTACGCACCGATTTGTGGACCTACACGAAAGCTTTGTGTGCCCTAAACGCCCACACTTGAAGCACTGTTTTGCTCTAGGGAAAAAATGATTTACCCTGAAGCCCACACAAAAAATCCTCACACAGTAACACTGCCCTTAAATCCAATTTTGATGGACAGAGTTGGAATAAATCTTTCTTTATTTACAGGGTCCCTTCTGGTTATTCTGGAAACCGACAACACTGGAATATCTGAATGAATACTCTCCGAAATTTCATCATCCAGAAAATCCAGCGGTACCTGTCATACCACACCATAAGTCTCAAAAAAGCTACGCGGAATAAAAGCCCGTATACCCATACCCTGCAAATCAACTTTAACCAAACTAGCATTAGCATCAGCAGCCGAATAAAAGAAAACTTTGAACAGGGACCTACCGATCGCCACAATATCTTTTAGCCCTTTTACATTCAACTTGCGAATTTTTCCAAACAAAAAAGTCCATTTTTGACGCCTTTACTTTCAACCCCACACATCTAGACGTGTCCATAAGCACAACCGCATCGCCCTTAAAGTCACAACTGTACTTCGGGCTTTCCTGACGCTGAAAAACATTCCTTACATTTCGTTCACCCGCCGTATTTGAGCCAGCGTTGGCAAACATCTTTTCCCCTACCCCTGAATACATATATTCTGCACTATTGCCAACCGCATCAGCACCTGCATTAACATTCGACACACTAGCATCTACAACGCCACTTTCAAATGAGACAGTCGGTCCCAATTCACTTGGCACTACTGTACCACTAACTCCAGCGGGAGCCTCTTGCACTTGTGCTAAATTAATAGCCGAACCCCTCTTTACAAGCATGCCACTGAGCGGCGGAAGCCCGTCACAGCTCATACCCTCACTTGACTCACTAAAATTTTCTAATTAAATCGTTTTCAACACTTTTAGGTCTCTTGGAATTTAAGGAGCCCGATGCCCTTTTCTTCCTAGCCTTACGCACTTTGCCCAAATTGGCCTGCGCATTTTTTGACGATGCGCACGCCATCTTGGACACAGCGCGTGACGCCGAAGCGTCCTCCATTTTGTACCACAAAAAAAAACCGCTATGCCACAGACACGATTTTCCACAATCAAAAAGACTTACCCACAAATAAATATCCACTTATAAATCTGCTTTCCACGCAAGAATGGTGAACATACTTTAAAATATTTTATTTTCTTTGCTAGCGTTCATTTCCCACATTTGACATTTTTGTCCCTCCTCGAAGAAACAATTGATAAAACTAGAGGTGACACCAAAAAGTTATTGGTTGAATCTGAGATTAGCTCACGATTACATATTAGGGATGGGCGAATTTTGTGTGGCTAATCCGCTTTTTAAATCACAGATTAGAGACTTAAGCATAATCAAAGAACCTAGATATCTACGTTCTTTGGCATAATCTCTGTATATGGAACACTCTCATAATTAAAAAAAATTATATACTTTGTTAAAAAATCGATCTCGTTTGCCACATTTTTTGTCACATCACCGCTCAGGAAATTGACAGTTCAGTGGTTTGTCATAAAAATAAGTGGTCTGGCAACCTCCCATTGATTTTGTATTAATTCTGTGAAATCATTGTTTTAATTGTTATAAGCGGCATTACGGAAGAAAAAGGAATTGAATGCTAAAAATATGTCGAATAACGATGAACTTATTGCACAATTTATTGAGATAAGCGGTGGAGATGAAAACGTCGCCAGATTTTATTTGGCAAGTTCCAATTGGTCTTTGGAGGTATGTGAATTCCATCCAAACATACATACATGTGTATGTGTGTACGTACCCATTCTTTTTTCCGGTTTCACTGCATGATTACAAAATTTAGGATGCACTTTCTCATTTCCTTGGCAATCAAGTTGACGGAGAGGGTGACAGTGAAGAACAATCAGTTGACAGAAATTCAGCCGGAGCGTCCGTTGATCCGCCCTCAACCAATTCGAGCAGTCGCAGTCGTCCGGAAATCGGCGCTGAAGGTTTTACCAAAAAAACCTCGGACAGACCCAAGTAATTTATAATTAATGGGGCTTTTGAAAAAATATGTTACATGTTTGTTTATTTATTTTGATAACAACAGAGTTGCGACACTAAATGATATGACCAAACGTACGTCGAACGAAGAAGAGGGACAAGCTTTTTACGCCGGGGGCTCGGAGCGTTCAGGACAACAGGTTTTAGGACCACCGAAGCGTAAAAATTTCCGAGAACAGCTAACTGATATGTTTCGTATGGCACAAGAGCACAGTACCGGAGACTCGGCAGGCGGCTCAACCGGCCCGTCTACATCTGGTGCTGTACATTGGGGTCAGGGGGTTCGACTGGGCATGACTGATAACGATCATTCCGTCGTAGCGTCGCATCAAGGCGATGGCAACGCTACAGAGGAAAAAAGACCTATTGTAGTCCTGAAGTTGTGGAGTCAAGGGTTTTCCATTGACGATGGGGAGTTGCGCCTGTATGATGATCCCGAAAATAAAGAATTTTTAGAGACTGTGATGCGCGGGTAATTAGTTTATGACTTAAATTTTAATGTCATATACATTGTATTACTAAAACCATATAGAGAAATACCACATGAGCTATTAGAGATGGGTTGGTTGGTGAATGTAGATGTGGAAGATCATCGCCACGAAGATTATAAAAGGAAAAGTGTACCTCCGAAATTCAAAGGGTCCGGCCATACTTTAGGAAGGTAACAAATTTTTGTTTTCCATTAGAATAATCCACTTCAGTTCAACTAACTTGATTAATAGTCCAACACCTAATGTCGAAGGAGCTGCCGCCCCCAGCAGTGCCAAGCCAACGCCAAAGGTTCAAGGAAAAGAAGATGATGCTTCTGCTAAAGAGAAACTCAACATAGATTCTTCTCAGCCAACCACAACGTTGCAAATACGTTTGGCCGATGGTTCCCGTTTGATGGCACAATTCAATTTGAATCACACTGTTGCTGATATACATCGCTATATAATTAAGTAAACTTCTAGGACATATAATATATAAAATGTGATAACCTCTTATTTTTCAGCGCAAGGCCACAATATGCGGATGGAAACTTCAGATTAGTATCGTCATTCCCAACCCGTGAATTGACAGATGATGCCGCAACGATTGAGTTAGCTGGCCTTAAAAATGCATCGATATTACAACGAATGAACTGAGTCGCACACATATTTTTCATTGGGGCATAAAACCTCGGCTACTTGAACGGTGTATTTGTAAAATATTTACTCTTAAACATGATTTGTTCATAAATATAAAAAAATAAAGCAAGATACAATGTATTGCTATTAAAATACCATCGCTCTGAATAAGTGTGAAAAGAAGTCTTGGATTTCATTTATTTGAGTATTTATTCAATACAATTATTGCAATCAAATACCCGCTTTACAAGGTGTGGTGCGTCGTTTTTCTTTGTTAACTTTTATATACCGTGTATACCGTGCGTTACATATGTATGTATTAGGGAAATCGCCCTTGACTAAAAAAACTAAGTTAATCAGTCTACCACTATGTGTACATTAGCTTCATTACTTCTAATCTTATATTATTTATGTTGTTCATGAAATTTTGACGCAATGCATTATGCCATGAATGTAAGCCGTCTTTTCCGATATTTGCACAGTCAATGTATCTGTGAGCAAAAGCTAAAGATGGAGCTAAATTGGCAGAAGTACTTATAGGTCCTGCCGACGTAGTTGTTGCTGTCATAGGCACCCGAGGTTTATATATGTAAATGGTGTGTGGTTTCGCGACCTCTGGGTCATAAAAGCTATTATTTGTAAGCAATTTATTCTTCTGATCAATACAAACCGAGTAAGTTTGTAACTCAAATGCATTACTGTCAGCCCCATAAGAATGCAACGAATTCAACACAGAATTGTCCACATTTATCTTAGCATTTGGGAAAAAGAATTCGTTTGGTTCCAGCAATATAGCGAATTTCGCTCTGTGTATGGAACGCAGTAAGCAATCGGTCTTGATGATGTCTCGTATATTTGATGTGCTATTTTTGCTCGTAAAAGGAAAATTAAATGGTAACGATTGTACATGCAAATCTTTATGCCTCCTTAGTTCCCGCAAAAGATTTTCTGATAAGTCATCGCCATTGTAAACGATAAACTGATTGATGCCTAGGACGTA